TGAAGCTGTCTTCTGTTTATTTGCTCAATTAATTATCATAATTGATCGTCGTTATTACATTATTAAAATCTCCAAATACTATCCTCATACTTGTACAAACTTCGACTTATACTAGGAGATCCGGGACCCCAGCTCCATCGTATCCACACCGTCCGTATATGGGAAACCCGGCGTGCCATGGACGGTGCAGATTCGCGCAAGTAAACTTGCACGAATAAACGACAACAGTGTCAATTGTGGGATCACGAAATCAAAATTTAATTGAAATTTGCTAACAATGCTTTTTTTTGGGGGTATGTTTTGTTATTTTCAATATTAAATAATTTTAATTTGATTTGATTTTATTAAAGTTTTAATTTGAATGATAGCTTAAAATAAATATTCCCGCAATGAATCTTTTGTTAGAAATACTATATTTTAAATAATATAGATTAGTAAGTTATTATATATTATTTTAATTCATGTCTCTTATTTATATATATATTTGTTTTTTTACGAAATTTTAAAAATATTAATATTATATTGGTGTGCTGTATGAATAAAGTAGAAAATATTAAAATAATCTTATTAGTACTGTTTAATATAAAAATAATGACATTTGTGTAATATATTGTAAGTTCTAAGAATATTTTTAATGTTGATATAAAGTACTGATACTAAAAAAAAAAAAGAAATAAATAGTTTGTTATTAGATTGGCTAAAATAGAAAAGTAGATAGATTGTTAAGGGACGGAGAAGCATTGGTTTTTATATGGATAGTGTAATTGATATTTAAAATATTTTTAAAATTATATTTTAATAAAATATATGCAATGTGAATATAATTTTATAGATAATAAAATTTTATATAATACAAATAAATAATTAACTTAAAATTAATTTTATAAAAAATGAAAAGTTTAAAATACATATAAAAGATATTTGTTTATTGAAAAAAATATAGAAATAAAAAAGTATTAAGTAAGTTCTATGTGTAATAAATTAAAATTTTAATTAAATTGATTTATATTTATTAATTATTTTTAAAATAAATAAATTTATTAAAAATTAAAAAGGTTATTTTGGAAAGAAAAAAAAAAAAAAAACAAAGATATACTTAGGCTATATATATATAAAATAAAAAATAAAAAATGAAGAAATCATTAGAAAAAACTATTAAGACATGGCGCGTTATCACATCATAAAAAAAAATAATAATAATAATAGCATAAAATTATGTTTTCTAGAAAAAGAAAATTAGTGAGCAAGCTTCATGTAGGAGTGGGCCCCACAGTACTTCGTACAGCGAAAGCTCCTTTTAGTTTTGACCATAATTGCTTTTGTATTTTATATTTTTAGCCTACTTGAAAAATTGTACAGTAGATATGATAATTTAAATAAATTATAATCACTAAATAATTAATAAAAAAATTATTTTAATACAAATTGATTATAAGTTAAGACTAAAATAATTAAATAATTTAATTAAAATTTTAAAAATTTTAATTTTAAAATATAATTAAAATATAAAATAATATTTAAAAATAATAATAAATTATACGAGATGAACTGAAATAAGAAAAATAGACCAGAAAGTATTACTTTTTCTACTTATTTTAAATTAGTTTTTATATAAATTTCTCATATGTTACTTTTATTTTTGTAAATATCTTATTTTAATATTAAATATTATTTTTTTATTATTTTTTTTTTGTGTCAGAACTAAAGTTACATAGTTTTTCTTAATAAAATAGTATTTTAAATTAATTTTAGAGTTGTTTAAGTACTATTATGCCCTTACCTTTTGATTAAAGTGTTTGTTTTTATTTATTTGTCTATCACATTATTTGTTTATTTTTTTTAAAATAATTATACATTTTAATCATATTTTATAATAATACTTCCTCCGTCCCATATCATATAGATGTATTACTGTAAAAACAAGAATTTATGTAAAGTATAATTAGTAAGTAATTACGAAATATATTAGTAAAAATAATTATTATTTAGTAAAAATAATTATAGATTAAGATTAAGATAAGTAATTAGTTTAATTAAAATTAAGAAAATTTAAAAATTTAAAAATTAAAATTTAAAATGCGATTAAAATGCATAATTATATTTTTAAAAATAGAAATGACAAGTTATGTGGGATGGACAAAAATAGAAAATAGAGATAAATTATGTGGGACGGGGGAATATGTGATATACATATTAGTTAAATAAAATATGTATATAAAATATTAGTATTATACGTATGTGATATAAAATATGTATATATATATATATTCGTAACCAAATTTACAGCTAAAACAAACAAATTAGTTAAATAAATGTGACTGTATTTTTATAATAATATATAATTTTTAAGTCTTTTAAGCCGTTTAAATTTTTAGGCCCAATCTTCTAATATGATGGGCTGTTAAAATTAAATAAGCCCAATATATTTCTAAGGATGAATTTATCTCACTAAAAGTGTCCATGTTTCGATATATACAATAATTTAGATAAAATATAATTAATAAAAAATTAAATATGTATTAGTAAAAATAATTATACACTAAGATTAAAATAACTAAATACTCCCTCCGTCTCATTGAAAGGTTGTCATTTTCCATTTTCGTCCGTCCCAAAACAAAGTTACTGTTTCCTAATTTAGTTATTGTACTACCTACCTAACATAATCAATATCCTTCTAACTTACACTGTATTATACAAATGTGATTACATTTATATTACACAATACTAATAGGGGCATTTTTGTCTTTTTTACTGCAACTCATTATAATACTAATATTCAAAAATCTACTTGCAAAAAGTGAATGACAATCTTGCACCGGGACAAAGGGAATAGTTATATTAAAATTAAGAAATTATAAATTACTCCATTCGTCCCACCTACTATGCCACATTATCGTTTCTGTCCGTCCCACATCTTATGTCACTTTTTTTTTTTAAAATGATTATACACATCTAATCTTAAAATTTTTAATTTAATTTTTTAAAATTTTAATTAAGCTAATTGGCCATCTTAAACTTAATCTATAATTATTTATATTACAAGATAATTATTTTCACTAATACATTCTTAATTATCTACTAATTATACTTATCCTAAATTTTCGTGTTTACAGTGGCCCAGACATCCAATGTAGGACTGAGGAAGTGTAAAATATGAATATAATCTAATTATAAAAATAATTAAAAATTAAAATTAAGACAATTATAATTTATAATTTTTTTAATTTAAATTAAACAATTTAATTTTCTTAATTTAAAATTTTAATTATTTTTATTTATATATTTTTCAATTGCATTTTATCTAAATTCTTATATATACATAAAGACAAAATATATAGAGTGGAAAAAGTAATAAATGCAAGGTAACGATGATTGAGTTGAAGAAATATACATGGGGAAAGAGAGGTTTGTGTGTCTTCATTTATTAATTAATTATATATACATATGATTAAGATGGGTAAAAAGAATAATTGTAACTGCATTCATATAGCATCGTCTACATTATATTTTCATTAATTCAAAATATGCACCAACAATTTATATAATTTAAGAATTGAAGATAATGTTAACTTCTTTTGCTATTATTATTTTATCAGATAAATTTTATAAAAATAAATTTGACGAACAAATAAAAAAATATATAAAATATGAAATGTCTATTTTTTAGATGTTCATTGTAAATTTATATCTAATATGGCTCTTTGTCTTATAAGTAAATATTCATTGCACGTAGTTTTAGAAATATTGGGATATAGTATGAATAAATTAGAAATGATTAAAATAATCTTATTAGTATGCGTGATATAAAGGTAATGATATTTGTGTAATATATTGTAAGTTGTAAGGGTATTTGAAATATTAAGTAGACAGTACAGTTACTAAAATAGAAAAAAAGATACTTTATTATGGGACGGACTAAAATAGAAAAATAGATACTATATTACGAGACGAAGGAAATATGATCGATGTCTTTCTTAATTAATCGATTCAATAATCATACCGTATTTATTTATTTGAATACAAAGTCGAGAGTAAACCGCGGAGTTGGTGTGAAGATCAAGTGCTAGACAGCGTTCAGTTGACTTTCAGTGGCTAATTAATAATTATACGTGATTTTATTATGGGTAAATTATATAACATATCCTTGTATTTTATTAAAAATGTACAAAATACTTTGTATTTTATTTATTACGTAAAACCCTTTTATGTTAATGAAAAATTTACATGAAATACCCTTTTTGTCCAAAAGTGATGTTTGGTTAAAAATAAATACCTAAATTACGTAAATTTTATACAAATAAAAAACGTAAAATATTTTAAATAATTTTTTTGAATAAAATAAATAAATAAATAATTTTATATAATTTGTCTCCAAAAACTATAAAATGAAGGATTAATAGATTATTTATTTATTTATTTTATTCAAAAAAAATTATTTAAAATACTTTATGTTTTTTATTTGTATTAAATTTACGTAATTTAGGTCTTTATTTCGAACCAAACATTAGTTTTAGACAAAAATGATGTTTCATACAAACTTTCTATTAACACAAAGAAGTTTTACGTAATAAATAAGACACAAAGTATTTTGTATATTTTTAGTAAAATACAAGAATGTGTTATATAATTTATCATTTTATATATAATATTTTTGCCAGTCTGAACTCAAATTACCTATTTTTATTAATTTCGTATGTTTTATTTAAAAAATATATATTTTTAAATTTTAATAAAAATAATTATACTGCTGAAAAGCTTTTCATGTGCTGATTATGATTTATCAACATTTGAATCCTTTTTTATGTTTTTTGGTTGAACAATTCAACTAATAATAATTTATTGCAACTTACGCTCTTTATTACCCAAATGTCTCCCTAATTACCATTTTCGTTGACTTTCTTTGTTGTCGTTTCTTAAAGTCAACCCCATATTCCCCCACGACAAATTTGCCCAACTGTATATATATATTCCCTTCCCTTACCGATAAAGAGGATACCCAGCTTCTAAATCCGGATAATTTTGACTCTATTAATTGTCAACGCTTAGAGCTCCGATCGGATAATGTCGTCGGAAACCGATAATTACTTCCTGTCGGGGCCAACACACCTCACCGTCGTCGACTGGTAAATAAATTATAAAAAAAAAATTAAATTAAATTATTCCTAAACAGTGCATATGATTTGTCATCGGCAGGAGCAATTCGAACCACCGGAGATCTGTGGCGGCGTGTCTCGTCCAGGGAGTATACGTGCTCGAAAACGACCGCCGCCACCGCCGCCAGGGCCCCGGCGCCGCCATGGCGACGCCGTGGTGGGAAGCCTTCAATTTCCAGCTCACCCAAATCATCGTCGACGATGACCAGTCCTACTTCGGCGCCGTCTACACCTTTACCCCACCGTACCCGCCACCGCACCACGGAGGCTCCGGCGGCCATCCGCCGCACCACGTGGTGGCCTTCCGCGGCAGTGCCGGAAAGTCCGGCGGCCGGACGGAGGATTTCAAAACAAACATCCAGTGTATGCTCAGCAACCTCCACCAGAGCCGCCGCTTCCAAATCGCCCTGGAACACGTTTCCGGCGTCGCTTCCATGTCCGCCGCCGTCTGGCTGACGGGGCATTCCCTCGGCTCATCCCTGGCGCTGCTGATCGGCCGGAATTTCGCGGTGGCGCCGGCGCCGGTCCACCTGGAATCGTACCTCTTCAACCCGCCCTTCGCCTCGCTCCCGATTAAAAACGAGAAGCTGAAAACCGGCCTCCGGTTCGCCAATAGCGTCCTGACCGCCGGTCTGGCGATCGCCGCCAAAAGCGGCGCCGCCGCCGCCGGAAATAAGGATTCCGACACGTTTGCGGCTCTGAGTACGTGGATTCCTTACCTGTTCGTGAACCAATCGGACACGGTTTCTTCGGAATACATCGGATATTTCGAGCACCGGGAAAAGATGGAATCGATCGGCGCCGGAAAAATTGGGCGGTTGGCGACGAAGCATTCGGTCGGCAGCATTATCTCGGCGGTTCGGGGGAAAGACTCGGAGCCGGTTCGCCTGATCCCGTCCGGTTACTTGACGGTTCACTGCAGCCGGTCTGAGAATTTCAGGGAAGCTCATGGGATTCATCAATGGTGGAAGCCTGATTTGGAGTTGAAGTATAAATTGTACCAAATAAAAAATTGAGTCGATTTTCATTAATGTAATTTATTGTTGTTTATTTAATTATTTTGGTATTATTATTATTATTATTATTATTACAAATTAATAATTAATTAATTGTAGTAGGTAAGTAGTGTTGTGGGTGGGGTGAAGGTACTAGACTAGACTAGTACGAGGCCTCTTTTGATTACGGCCTCTTTGAGGTTTTGTAACGATTCTTGTAAATGGTCGCAAAGGCAATGCGGGTTTGGGATGAGCTTCTCGTCGGCGGCTAAGGCAATCACAAGCTTGTTGCTGTAGCTTTGGTAGTGAATCAACAATGCCTGAAACAAAATAATAATAATAATAATAATAATAATAATAATAATAATAATAATAATAATAATAATAATAATATTGATTTTTATAACTTTAAAATTATAGTGACCAATGCTTACTCGTATTTTTTAAAATATTAGACAAAATTCTATAGAATTTGCGTGACATGAATGAATATTCCAAACCATAAACACATTATTGGCATGTTTGGTTGAAAGATTAAATTTTAAGTTTGAGTTTTAAATAATTAAAAAATAATTTTTGAATAATTCTATATATATTACTTCCCCCGTCTCATCTACTATGTCCACATTGTCGGTTCTGTCCGTCTCACATTTCATGTCACTTTTTTTTTTTCAAAAATTGATTACATACTTTAATCTTATTTTAATTTTTTTTTAATTTTAATTAAAATAATTAGTTATCTTAATTTTAATTTATAATTATTTTTACTAATACATTATTAATTATCTACTAATTATATTTATCTGTGTATCCGGACATACAATGTTGGAGTAATAGATATTGATATTATATTTTGAATAATTTTTTTAGTATAAGTATTTGATTTTATATTTTTGAACAAAATTATAATAAAATACGATCAAAATCTTTTTATGAAACAGATTTTATTGTTGAGAAAAAATCTAAAATTTTAAATTAAAATTAATTGATATTAAGTAATCATACACTCTTATAAACCAAAGAAATTCCAACATCTTTTCTAATATGGATATATTAACATTTTCTCTCGAAACAATATTTCAAAATCTAATCAAAATTCATACCATATTATGACTCTATACTATGATAAAATGAATTTAAAATTTCAATATAATAATATTAAATAGAATAAATTCTTTTGTTGTGTTCATTTGAAAGATTTTTATCGATTTTTATTATTCATTAATTTTTTTTTCTTAAAAGATATAAAAAATCAAATACTTATTTTTAAATTTTTATATTATACTAAAAATTAATTTTATATTCAAACTATCACGTCAACACTTATTTATACCGCAACATACAATTATTTCAATTAATTTATGTTTTTACTTTTAATTCAAAATCCAAAGCTTCAAACAAAGAACACCCACATATTAGCACTTATATAAAACATATTTTCTCCGTCTCAGTTAATTTGTCTCATTTAGCTTAGGCACAGAGTTTTAGGTATCGTGTAATCAATAAGTAATTAAAAAATATATTAGTAAAAAATTATTATTATTTAAAATTAATATGATGACTAAATAGTTTAATTAAAATAAATTTTTTTTATATATTATGAATTTTAAAATGTAATTAAAATATATAATTATATTTTTTAAAAAAAAATAAATTATATGAGATAAGAAAAAATAAAAATAATGGACAAATTCAATTGGACGGAGAAAATAAATAATTGATAGGTACCTGAGGAAAGCCATAAACCGTAGGCGCAATGTAAGATAAGTGGTGTCCGAAAAGACATATTTCTTCTTGTGGGCCCACCACATTTGAGAACGCCAACGTTGTGTTTTGAAATACTCTGTTCGTCACCGCCGCCGCTGTCTGAAAGTGCAAATTTTTTCATCAATCAATCTCAGCCGTCCATCTCATTGTAAGTTACTATTGTGGAACATTAATTGCCCAAACTACCCCTACCCCTACCCTACCTACCAATCCAATGAATATAGTCATCACGTGCACGCACGTGCTTGATCTTACTACACATACTAACCTCGGCTCCAAAGAGCTTTACGAGTGCCTTGATTACGATGAACACCAGCTTGGGGCTGAGCGATAACTTTCTTCTCTCCATTGTGGCCTTTGCTCTATTTAAGCAACTTAAGGGATCTTTTTGCAAATTCATGTTTAGAGGGATTAGTGCTAACCCCACTTGGTTTCCCCATTTCCCATCTAACTTCTTCTCCTTTTTTATTATTTTTGCCAAATCCTACTTTTTAGAAATAAGTATATATATTATTTAAATGAAGAAGAAAGATTAAAATTTATTACTATCTTAGTCTTTTACTTTAAATATTTATGAAATAAATCTCATAACTAATCTTTATTGTATTTTAGTCCTTATAAACAACAAAATTTTCCGCAAAGATAACTAACAAATTAATTTGAATACGTGACATTCTCTTAATAGAGTTCCAAAAAAAAAGGTTATGAAAATATTTTATTCTTAAGTTGCTTTTTATACGTATATTTTTTTAATATTAGTATAATATTAATATTTGTTTTGTTTTTTTATTTTCATTCGTCCCAAAATAATTATCTTTTTTCTTTATGTAGTAGCCGTGGTCCTCACTTTATAACAAAATTATTCTTACTTTTTTATATTACCCCTAATTATTACTCTAACATATTCTTTAAAATTCTTTAAAAAGTAAGGGCATTTTAGTTATTTATATTCTACTTTATACTTATTTTCAATTAAATACTATTATTCCTTCATTCTCGTGCCAATATTAAAATATTTTTAATGTTAAATAAATATTACAATTCAAAAAAATATATATAATTTGTTATAGGACGGATCAAAATTTAAAAAAGTAATAGCTTATTAAGGAAGAAAAAGAATATATATTTGTTTAAATAACAATTTTTTAAATTTCCGAGTTTTTTAAAAATTTTAAGAATAGTACGTATATAATGCAATATTATTTAAGATGATAAATTTTTTAGAGTTACTATTAACAAATAGTGTTAAATTTTTTTTATAAATATATAATATAAAAAAAAAATCATATTTTTTTTTTCAATAATTAAATAAATTAATTAAAATGACCTGAATTGTCGGCGGTGGCCGGAGGTTAAATGCTATGCCGATTCTCATCCGGCCATTTCTTACATTGAACTTCTTCTTCGACGCACCATTTTCATCCACGTTGTCTATCCATATGCACACACAGTATACATTACTATATATTTTATTTTAAAAAATATCAAATTAAATATTTATTTATATTAAATTTAAAATTATACTTACTAGGTCATTTAAATTTATATATATATTTTTTTAAATTATCATAAAAAATAAAATATTTTCATTTTTTTTAAATAAAAAATAATTATAATTTTGTATTTTTTTTAATATAAAAAAATAACCATTATTATTCACTTTTATTAAAACTCATCACGATTCAAATAAACACATATTTGCACTAGTAATGAAATATTATTTTTTGAAATAATGGATGATACTCAAACTGACCGTATCTCGACTTCAAATAACGGCTAACACCAGCTTCTGTCACAGCAAGTGCCACGTCATTGATGCTCTGCATATCCAATTAATTAAATATCATTAATATTATGGTTGAAATAGTTACCCTCTCCACGTACTTTGCATTATTTTTCAATTTTGTATTTTTTATATATTATGCAAAATATTTAAAATGGTAAATAATTAATTATATTTTATTTTATCATATTATTTAAATAAAATAGTAAATATTATATTTTATCTTATCATATCATTTAAATAAAAATAAATAAATATTATATATATTTCACTTAATTATCAATTTATAGACTTAATAATATTCATTTAAATGCTCGTATCAAAGCTAAATATTTCAGTATATATAGGACATAGAAAATACTATTAAACGAGCAATTTCGAGCCTAACGCTAATATATTATGACATGATTTGTCGGAGCTGATGTGGAGATCTTAAATTGAACTTTTGATAATAAATAATTATTAGTGGGAGGGGACGGCTATAAGATATTGTGAAAGCATGCTCATTTATTACTTTAGTTTGTCTATTAAAAATATATTTATAAAATAATTAATATATTTTTAAAAAAATTATACTCATTATTTTTACATTTGATGTGAATTGAGTGTTGATTGGATCAAATCAGCATAGTTCTGATTTGATTCCAATCAGCCTTTATAATAAAAATATACATTATGTATTTAACATATCATATATTGTGTTATAACAAAGTAACAGTGAATTCATTGTCTTTTCAATATATATTTATATAAATGACATTAATGGACCCTATGCATTTGCACATAAATTATATTTTAATTCAAAATTTATATGGTTAACCTAAAAAACTTTAGACCATCATATAAAAAATAATAATAAAATAAAGTAAAATAAAAAATACCCAAATAATATGAAAAAGATATATATTTTTAAATGTATTTGTTCAAAAGTTTTGAACATTGTCTTATAAGTAGGGAGTATGAAATTATGTTCAAATTAAACCATTTTTAATATAAGACAGTTATTAAAATTAATTACTTCCTTTAATTTTGCCATGTGCTTACTTTAATTTGATCGTAATTACGTACCACGTTCATGGCTGTCTTAACGAGCTTGAAATCGTCGAGGCTAACAATCCGGTGAACAAATCTCTTCGGCGACGCCTCGACGCCGGCGGAGCCTTTGATCGGAGTTTTCTTATCCTTAACAAACGCCACCGTCGCCAAAATCGCGACGCCGTCGGCCACCGTGTGAAAAATCGTCAGAAGGAGGGTCCACGTCAGCAGGAGGGCCCACTTAACAATCCCCGGCGACCGGAGACCCGCCGGAGATCCGGCGGCGGCGACGGAGAGCGGCCGCGGCTTCTTCTGCACCGGCATCTCCGGCAACGCCTGCGGATCGGAGATCTTCCGGGAGCAGGCGAGGACGAGGGAAATCAGGGAGGCGCCGTCGCCGACGGAGTGGTCGATCTTGAAGACGGCGGTGGCGGCGGCGTCGGCGGTGGGGACGTTGAGGATGTAGACTTCCCAGAGGGGCTTTTTCCGGTCCATCGGAGTTTTGGAGAGATCGGCGGTGAAGTCCTCGACGAACGTATCTGGGCCGTCCATTTCCGGATCCAAATCCGGGGCGAATACGTGGCTGTCGACGTCGACCCGGACCCGCTTCCAGCGCATGCGGCGGCGGGCGCCATTGTTGCTGTTCACCTGCAAAATTGAAACCCTAATTAATTAATTATTAATTAAATTGAATAGAAAGATACAGAATGTGTGTCCGTACGAGGAGGCTGGAGAAACGAGGATGGTGAATTAGGGTTTGGGAGAGAGAGAGCTTGAAGAGAGGGACGTCAATGGCGGTTTGGAATCCCATTAATGCTAAGATGTAGAGATTGAATTTTGGTTGCTGCATCAAACTGCTGCTGGGGCTTACTGCCTCTTCTTCTTCTTCTTCTTCTTCTTCGTGTACTTCGACATTACCCATGTTCTCTCTCTCTCTCAATCTCTTTCTCTCTCTCTAAATTAACTAATTTATTACAATCTAATACACACATATATATTGATATTCTATTCGATGTTAGGTTGTGGGTGTTTGGTTGTGTTCTTTTTTTGTGTTTTTGAATAGATAAAATTGTTTATTGTAACTGTTTTTCTTTAAATAGTTTGCACCATATTTTTAAAATAATTTTTAAAGAACTTCGATTGTATTCTTTTGTAGTTTTACTATTTAAATTCTTTTATCTTTAAAAAGAAATATTACATTAAATAATTATTATTATCTTTTTATATTATACTACAAATTTGTTTGACATTCAATCACGTCAACTTCTATTTATATAACATCAAATAATTATTTAAATTCAATTTTTTATTATTCAAAAATATAAACCCACAAACAAACACAATTTCGTGTTTTTAGAAAATATTGTATAATATTTATTTATTTTTTCAGAGGAATTTGTGCATTACTTAAAAAAAGTATGAGAAAATCTTACACAATTTTTTTAATGGTTTCCTATATAAAACACAAGAAAATTACATAGGGGAATTTTATGTTGTTTTGTCAATTATAAAATAGTTTTATATTTTGAATGATTTGGGTCCTTTTGGTTTCTATTTGAGTTTGAATTTTTTATTGAATTTTTATGTAAATACTATTTAATAGTATTATAGTATTTTGTAAAAAAATTACTATATTTATATTGAAATTCGTATATATTAAATGATAGAAAATGTGATTTAATATAAAAACCAAACAACCCTTTTTTTGGGTTGTTTTCATATTAGAGTAAATTATATAAGATATCTTTTTGTTTTACTAAAAATCCACAAAATATTTTGTGTTTTATTTATTGCGTGAAACACCTTGGGTTAATGGAAAGTTTGTATGAAGCACCCTCATTGTCCAAAATTGATGTTTGGTTCGAAATAAAGACCTAAATTACATAAGTTTTATACAAATAAAAAACGTAAAATATCTTAAATAATTTTATATGAATATAATAAATAAATAAATAATTGATCAATCATTTATTTTCATAATTTTTATAAAAATCAGACAACAATTTGTCTCCAAAAACTATAAAAATGAAGGATTAATAAATTATTTATTTATTTATTTAATGCAAAAAAATTATTTAAGATATTTTGCGTTTTTTATTTGTATAAAAATTGCGTAATTTAGGTATTTATTTATAACTAAATATCAGTTTTAGACAAGAATGGTGTTTCATGCAAACTTTACATTGACACAATGGGGTTTCACGCAATAAATAAAGCAGATGATGTTTTGTGCATTTTTACTAAAACACAAGGGAGTATTATATAATTTACCCTTCGTATTATTATCATTATTATTATTATCATTGGTGTAATAATAAAACTAAGGATGTTTGGGAGGGAATTGTAAATGAATTAATCAATGAACGCATTTAATTATTTTGGGTGACTTAAAACTTGTTCTTATATTTATTTATTTTTTAACATTTTTTATTATGCAATATTCGATGATCCTATAAAAACATATTAATTTTTTTTATATAAAAAATATTATATTAAACTACTATTTAAATTAAAAATTTATAAGTACAAATCAAGCATAGACATCTATATATCTATCATTTCTATTCACTCATTTTGTGTGTGACAAATTAATAAGCCCCATCAAACTTTATCATCCATAACTATATTATTCTTTCTTCAAAAAAAAATTCAAACCTATACGTATCTACATCTCATAAAAACAAATTTTAACAAATACCTCAACCTCAATTAATATAAAATTTGGATAAACTATTTTTTAGTTCCGTAACTGGACTCCTTTATCATTTTAGTCTCATAAGTGGAGCTTATCGCAAATTAGTCCCATAAGTGAAATTTTTTTGCTGTTTTAGTCCTCCGGCGCCGGAGACGCCCGCGTGGCTCGCCGGAGGTGACGTGTCCGTCAGGTCAGCGATACCTGGCGGACACGTGGATTTATTATTATTTTTTTCATTTTTTAATTTTTTTTTAATTGGACCAAATAAAAAAATATAAAAAATACAAATAAAATTAAAAATAAATTAAAAATAAGTTTTAAAAAAATTAAAAAATGAAAAATAAAAATAAAAAATCCACGTGTCCGCCAGGTCAGCGACACCTGGCGGACACGTTACCTCCGGCGAGCCACACGGGCATCTTTGGCGCCAGAGGACTAAAACAGCGAAATTTTTTCACTTATGGGACTAGTTTGCGACAGGCTTCACTTACCGAACTAAAATGATAAGGGGTCCAGTTACGGGACTAAAAAAACAAGTTTATCCATAAAATTTTAACAAAAAGTTTTCATTCTTGTATATTAAACACAATATTAAAATAATATATATATATATATATTATGAATATGGATAAAACCACCCCATATTACTATACATTTTACAAATATATATATATATAGTCGTGTTTATGTATTTTAGTGTGTTCTATAATAGTACAAATTTTGAATTATATTAATTGTTTGATACGATATAAATAAATATTTGATATAATTTTTAAATAAAAAACAAATTATTATAAACAAAGAGGGAAAATACAACCAAATAAACCCTTACGAGCATTTGTAAGTTGCAAGGTAGTTAAAGCGAATTTAACGTGAAGAATCCCGGCTCTCCTATTTGGGATTCGTCTTTCCTACTAAATTGAGTAGGAGATAACTAAGGATGTGTTTGATTTGTGAAATATTTTGAAGGGATATTTTTTATTTGAAATATAAAAAATTGTTTAGATAATATAAAACTAATGAACCTTTGTGATATATTAAATTTTTTGAAAAAATATGTATGAAAAAAAATATAAAGAGAAGGGCACTCTAAAAATTTTAATCAAGAAAAACAAAATGGAAGTTTTAATACAACATTTCTAAATAAAAATTGAGAGTTGAATAATTTAAATATAGGTAATAAATATGCGCCACTTTACAGAATTTAATATGTGCCATTTTATATATATATATATATTAGAAAATATTTAAAATAAAATAAATATTTTATAGTTTTCAATAACTAAAAATAAAATTTTAAAAGATAAATTAATTGAATACTAAAAAACACACTTTTTTTTATACTCCCGCCTTTCAGCTAGAAAGTATACATATTTTTATTTTGGAACATCCAATTACAAAGTAAACATTTCATTAAATATCACTAAATACCTCATTTTTTTCCACAAATACTCATATTTTACATCACATCATTACTTTTACACCAAAAAATAAGGACAAAAATATCATTATACTACTTTTAACTGCCCACTATAATTAAAATACTATTATTCCTTAAACACGGCGCCAAAAGTATACTTCATGTGTGGAGAAAGGAAATATATAGTAATGTATAGAATAATACTCCCTCCGTCCAGTGGCATATATATATTTTTATTTTATGACGTCCAATTATAAAGTAACTATTTTATTAAATACCCCACTTTTTTCCACAATTACCCTTACTTTACGTAACATCATTACTTTTATACTAAAAAGTAAGGGTAAAAATGTCATTACACTACTTTTACATACTAATTATAATTAAAATACTATTATTTCTTAAATTTCGCGCCAAAAACAAATATATACTTATTGTTTGAACCGAAGGAGTACCATCTTCTGAAATATACATATGATGATGTAATTATTGATTAGCATTAAAAAAACACTCCATTATTATTATTATTATTATTATTATTTTAAAATGATAAAATGGTACTAGCATATTTGAATTTTGGAAGACGGCGAGGTTAGGTTGGTAGTGATTGAAAACTATCATTGATGAAGCATTAATTGTGCACAACATCAAAGTACAATTATAATTAATACTCCGTCAGTTTCAAAATAATAGTTTTGTTTATTATTTTTATCCGTTCTAAGATAATAATCTCATTTTCTCAAATAATCATATCATTGTAAAATTATTCCTATTTTTTCATTATTATTACACAATTGTCACTATTTTTTACATTAATATACTCACAGGGACAAAAAAGTCATTTAATCTTATTTTTATCAACTATTAATATAATATTAATATTTCTTAGATCTCGAATCCAATACAATAAGACTATACTTTTGGGATGGAAGAAGTATTATTCACTTGATACAATTTTTGGGTAAAAATATAATATTAGAATATTATTTAAATAAATATTTTATTTTAAATAAATTTTAAATCAAAAGCAAATAAACTGAAGTCACCACTACAGTTCATTGTTGCATACAGCTAAGTATAGAGTTATTGTGAATAGTTTGAATTCAAATGGTTTGAAAACTTTATTTTAAGATTAATTATTATTATTATTATTATTATTATTATTATTATTATTATGTAATTAGCACATATTTTTATCAAAATGTTATAGAATATATTCACATTCAATTATTATTTAAATAAATATGCAAACAAAAATAGCCCATTTACCAATAATGTTGCATGTTAATGTAAACTGATAAAGAAAAATTGGTCTGTTAATACAATATTGATTGAAAAATACTCTCTCACCTCCGGAGGAAAATGTATTTGTTCTATTTGATTTGATTGTTCAGTAGAAATATATCAATTATTTTCAGGGTAAACTATTATATATATATATATATATTTTTTTAAATCTTAAATTTTATTTTAGTTTCGTAATTGGAAGCAGTTAGTAAAATAATTTCGTAAATAATTTTTTTTGCATATTTAATCATCTGGCATCGGAGATGCTTGTGTAGCATATCGAAGCAAGGTAGCTCTAACCTGACGGACATATGTCATTCAAGATGCTAAATATGCAAAAAAATTTCACTAAAAAAATTGTTTTAAAACAATTTCCAAATATGAAACTAAAATAATAAAAAAAAATTATAATTACAAAACTAAAAAAATAATTTATCCTTGTTTTTATCCATTTTTCATAAATAGTACCCACAGTTCATCATCATGTTTACACAACATCACTCAATTCATTGTTTTTAAACAAACATAAATGATAAAG